GGTGGAGTTATGTAAAAATGTGCGATTTCTTTCTATGCGCCTCCACGAATTTTTTGCGATCTCACGGAAAAATAGAAGGAAAAATCAGTTCACTCAGAGGATTCCACTTTAACAGGAAATTCATCAAATTTCAGACCCTTGCAAATTCTCCATTATGAGAAGTGACAAAATTCCGGGATAGGCATGATACAAGTGGCTAATTAACCTGCAGTCTCCCTCAATTTACGCAAATCGACCTAAAAATTTAATGTTTCTAGTTCACATTTTCTATGCTTTTCTGCCAACGCTTGGAGCAAAGAAACGCCATCTTAGTTCTTGATCTGTCTTCATTTTTCGATAATGAATGCTCTGAAGTGCTGCGTTACTCCGAGTGCCTTTGGATTATAATGAACATTTTTTTCTATGCTTTTCTGCCAACGCTAGGAGCAAAGAAACGCGATCTTAATTCTTGATCTATCTTCGTTTTTCGATAATGAATGCTCTGAAGTGCTGCGTTACTCTGAGTGCCTTTGGATTTATGAACATTTTTCATGGTGCCAACACACTTATCCTTGAATTTTTAGGACTTTATTTCTTGAACACATCCTAAACTTCCCTTTTTATCTGCAAAAAAATCTTACTACAGAAAAAAATTTGCGAATAATAACGGTCAAAGGCTCGATTTGACAGATGAGGTCGGACATTATGCAGATACTTTAAAAACTTAAGTTTTTGTCCCTATGACACGTATTTGTAGAAGTTTAATAGTGGTTGAATTGGATTTTCTTTGTCAAAGCTGTGAGAATGAACCCTTCAAATTTAAAATTAGACGGAATATAAATCTACAATTTTCAATTTTACTTCAAAATGTCATGTATGAGCGTTGGTTTTGGTTCATTCTACTACGCGAAGGAGAAAAAATCTCCCACGTCGCGTCGGCGGTAATGTAAAATCTCGTAAAAACCTACAAAATACGTCGTGTGTTAAAAAAAGGATAGACTTTGGTAAAATGTCCATTTTATGGCGAATCTACCACTATCAAAGATTCCCTTCGTCTGCAGCATATGCGGACAATTAATAGACCAATTCTCAGGAAAATTAAATCTTTTCCTCGAGGAGCGCGAGATAAGAGATAAATAGATGCCGTCTTCCGGAAACTGACACTGCGAAAATGAAATCCGATGCGCTACGTTCCAGGAGGATATTTCAAATTCCACGCGAAAGACGTCTAATTATCGCGGGAACTTGGGTTTAAATAGATGTAGAAAGTTCGAATACACAAGAAAGATATTTCGTTCTTTCATGTGAGGACCATGATGAGGAACCGAAATACGTCTCGCTATTAGGAATGTAGTTTCGGAAATGCCACTTCATCTGTAGTTCCATTTACTATGATTAGAATTATATTGTTGGCTAAAATGGGAGACATATCTCAGCTTGGGACATTGCAGACTCCTATCGCAATTATTAATTACTTGGAATACTGGCCAGCGTAATTCCTTGAAAACTTCTTCGACTTTTCTACTCTCTCAGCAGAATATCCTGAGCCCATGAATTTTAAGCTACGAAGCTGCTTGAGAGAAAATTTGCGTCCTTCATAGATCCGTTTTCATTTAAGTAATTGATTTGTACTTAGTTCCATCCAAGAGCGCGAGTACACTTAATTCCGTAGTTCCTCGCACGAGAGGACGTAACTATATTTCTACGTTGCAAAATTTCCCCAGACAAATTGTGATTTAAGTGGAAAATTATTGGACGTTTCAAATTGAAACTTTCGCCGATTTCTCTTCGACTTCACCCAAAAATCAGTAACATTTCACACAAAAATTGCATATATCTAGTGATGTCTTGTGCAAAATTAAAATGTTCGAGTTCATTGCGGGCAGCCTCAGAATAAAGTTGCGTCCCTTCGACGCGGAAACGACGAATCGAATCCGACTTTATTTTGACGTATTGATGCTAAAAGGAACTAAGTGCATAAGGTTTACGTGCCACATAGTTCCTTTTGGCATAAACACGTCCATTTTTCGATAGGAATTTCAATTTTGGACTCATCTGTAAAAAAATGTATGTGCATAGGGAGAACTAATGGCACAAACATTACCTCTAAAATGAGATGGAAATATAGTCCCTAGGACCTAAATGTAGTCAAACTGAACATTAACTAAGTACGTCATATTTCAGCATTATAACACATGAAACGCTCGTCGAGGCACAAAACGCACGCATTTGAAGTGTTACATTACAGCGGTAAGTATGACCTTAAATTGGCTCGTTCCTGAGGAGGGGGAGGGATGTTTGAACACCGTCGAAGGGGGGGGGGAGAGTGCAATGCAGTCTATTTCCGGAAAGAGCAAACTCTTTCTGGGCCGGGGTGGAAGTGAAGCTGGAAACTCATCCGAGATTGTGCCATGCATGCACAGTGCTCTAGGACACACATACATACTGTGCATATACATATAGGTACCCATTCTGCCATGCTGCAGAAAAACGCCGTATGAGCCTTCAGGCGTTGCCAAATTCCCTTCGATAAAACACGAATTTCCTGGTAAACTGATGAATATTTTTCTGCAAATTTTTCAGGTAATTTTGTTCGCCATCTCGCCGTAAGTTCCTGCAAATTTCAAGGACAATATTCATAACTTGCCCTAAAAATAAACATTTTATCATAGGAAATTTGGCAACTCCCGAATATTCATACGGCGTTCTTCCATTCGTACGGCAGCAATGCAGCATGGCAAAATGTACCCATTGCCGCGCTAAGGAAAAACACCGAATGAGCATTTGAATGTTGCCGAATATTTATTTATGAACGATGTTCCGAATAAATTTCATCGAAATTTTCAGACACTTTAAATCAAATTGCGAACAAAATTCCCTGAAAAATTCGAAAAAAAACTCTGGAGACAAATTTCCCAAAAATTCACGATTTGTCAAAGAAGGTTTGGCAACGTCTAAAGGCGCATACGGCGTTTTGTTTAAAAGCACGGCAGCATTGATTGTGGAGGTGTGCGCGCATGTGATTAGAAGGTACGGAAGTCGGCGTGATTTCAGGAATTTACTGCTTCGATGGTAACGTCGTCGTATGGGTTTCCGGAGACTTGCCATGTTCCTCTTCCGAATACTGGAAAAAAAACACATTGGATCTAGAGGCCAGACTCTTGAAAACATCGACAAGAAAAAGTACTCTCGATTCAATCAGAATCTAGCTTGAATCGAGAACCAAGCCTCTTAATTTAAGCGGATTTCGTTTTGATTCGAGCAAAAATCCGATTGAATCAAGAGTACTTTTTCATTTTCTTGTCGATGTTTTCAAGAGTCTGGACTCTAGATGCAATGTGGTTTTTTTTCCAGTGAATGGCATCAATCAATTGGACTACATTTTTCGATTCGGAACTACAATTTCTGGCTCAGTTTAGAGACAACGTATGTACAAGTAGCTTCTTGTAAACACAACTGTTTTTACTCATGAGCCAGACAATTTAGTTCCTAATTGCAAAATGAAGTTCAATTGAATCTGAACGGCAAGGTACGGCGAAACGGCAAATGTTATTGAAGTTTGTGGGTGGTTTCACGATAACTGGAATAGTTTTGTCGCCGTAGCAGACAACACATTTTTCGGTCATATTTTTAGTAGCAATGATAATCACTCGCATTTTTTTGCATTAATCTACACAGGGTTACGTGTTATAACGCTTTTCAACGATTGATCGCTCTACTTTTCAATTTTAGTATATAAATGACCGAAAATGTGCGCTGTGTTACGCTGACTTTTTACCGCTTAACAGACAGCACATTTTCGGAATTTGCATAATATTAATTGAGGAGTAGAGGAATAAATCGTTGGAAAGCGTTAAAATACGTTTTCTTTGAAGATTAATGCGAAAAAATTCGAGTGATTGTCATTTCTTATGAAATATATGACCGAAAAATGTGTTGTCTGTTACGGCAACGAAACTAATCCAGTTATCGTGAAACCACCCTTTTCAGCCTTGGCAAAGTTGAAGATTTTACCAAAAATTCTGCTACGTTATTAATACGTTGAAGACAAGTAGAGTTAAATGACTCGCGGTTGTGCCTGGTTCACACAGCAGCGAAACTGCAAAAATGCAAATCTAGGTTCGCGGCGCTGTGTTGATATTAACGTCTTGATACAACTATTCGTACTCAGTGGATGTCCGTATTGCATACACAAAAATTGAAGGCATTTCGGCTTATTTGTCGCTCTGGAGGACACTACTTGGGGCGGCCGTACCGGCCGCCGTTTTTTACGAGGGCTAGAAAATCCAAAACGCCTTCAATTCGGTGAATACGATACGGATAGCTTTACAGTACTTATAGTGGCATCCAGGTGTTGAATCATTTTACTTAATGCATTGCCTGGCAAGCTCTTATACCTCCAACGTGATACATGGCCTGAACGATTCAGTGCACGACAGTGCAAGTATGAAGTACTCAACGCCCGTTCGTGAAACCTTCCCTGATTTTTCACTCCGTGTGAAGAATATACTGTTAAAATGTCAGGCAATAAAGTTAATTTATTCTCCTCTGATAAACTGAAATTGTGTCCAGCGGAGATTTCGTGACCGAACAAATGAGATCTGCGGTTATACAGGTTCAATGCCAATGGGGCCGCAGAGTTCGGGAGTCATCAATGTTTGCTCAGAAGTCATAAATCGTAAAATTCAAGGGTTTATATTCAATGTTTTACCGAACTCATTCGAATAGTTCGGAAGAACTGATAGTTGTTGAGCAACTGTCTTGTTAGCTCGCCTGTCAGGTGCTCATAATTCGGCGCCAACGTTGGCTTACCGACAGTGTTTTGTACCCACGGAATTGGGAGTTGTGAGTTAGGGAAACCTAAATTTCAAAATTCTGTAAGAGTGAATCGGCCCGCAGTGTTTGGAACCCACTGAATTGGGAGTTGAACATTAGGAAAACCTAAAATTCTACATTTGTAGGAGCAAATGGAATGCCGCGAGTGTTGACAGGGTAAAAAAAACACTGTGGCGACATCTTACCTGCTCAGAGAAAATCAAGTCGGATGTATCCGGAGCCTCCATTCAGAATCCATCCAAATTAAAAAGGCGTATCATCGGCACATCGACAACACTCGTGCAACACTTCCAGCTCCCGACACAACCACTAAAACCGGAGGGAGAAAAACACCAAAACACCGGCGAGCAAACAAACACCGCACCGGTCACACTTTCCGCAGATCCTCAGAAGTAACTGTGCACACACCGGGCTAACTTTCCGAGCAAACACGAGGCAGGTCAAACGCAAACACTCACGGTAATGAAGACATTAAGCCAGCAAGAACGGAGAGGAGCGAGGTACGTACGCTGCGCTCGGCGATCCTCTTGGTACTGATTTCGGAATTGAGTTGTGAAGTTGACAGCTAACTCGGAGAGCGGGTCTGCGGCTCCACGGGACCGCGGGGCGATCTCTCCGCCCCCTCCCCCTCCCCCTCCCACTACTACGCCCGCTCTCCCGCGCTCTCCGGACCAATCTACAATCGCCGGTCCTGGCTGGCAGCAGGGGTCTACGCTGGTCCCCCGGCCCCCTTACCTTTTTACCTGGCCTTCCCGGGTTCTTCGGCTATTTCCTTTTTCCCCGACCGTCTTTTTATTAGTTTTTTCTTGCCACCTTCCAGTCCTTCTCTCGTTCGCTCTCCCCCGCAGACTGGCTCTCTTTCGGTCCAGNGACAGCTAACTCAGAGAGCGGGTCTGCGGCTCCACGGGACCGCGAGGCGATCTCTCCGCCCTCCCTCCCCCTCCCACTACTACGCCCGCTCTCCCGCGCTCTCCGGACCAATCTACAATCGCCGGTCCTGGCTGGCAGCAGGGGTCTACGCTGGTCCCCCGGCCCCCTTACCTTTTTACCTGGCCTTCCCGGGTTCTTCGGCTATTTCCTTTTTCTCCGACCGTCTTTTTATTAGTTTTTTCTTGCCACCTTCCAGTCCTTCTCTCGTTCGCTCTCCCCCGCAGACTGGCTCTCTTTCGGTCCAGCCAGCGCACACTGTTGTCCTCGGTCCTAGAAGTTGGCCAAAACTGGTCGGTAGCTGGAACTGATCAGTTTGATGAGGACGAGGTACTCATTTGGACCGCGCTCAGCAGAAAGCAACCAAGCCACATCAGCTATTGCTGAATTTGATCTGGCCATCTAATTTTTTTACATATAAACGATTGTGCGGGTTTTCGTGCGAATTTCAGTGAATTTTCTGCACAGCACGAAGCAAATTTCTTAAAAATTTCCAAGGAATCCGCGCAAACGTTCTCTGGTAAAAAATTAAGTTGCCCAATTGAATTTGGCAAAAGCTGATGTGGTTTGGTTAATTTCTGCTGAACGCGCTCCAAATAATCTTGATGGCAGATTCAAGTCACTTATTTTAGGGAGAAGCCAAACATTTATTGTCCTCGGAGTGCGGGTGGAAGAGGGAGGAGGGGTGATCTAGATCTGATTACGAATCAGCTCCCTGAAAATTTAGATAAAAAGTATTCACAGATCTCCTTGGAAATTCGTATTTTATGCAGGGAAATTTTGCAACGCCTGGAGCTTCATACGCGGTTTTTCCTCAGCACGGTAGAATACTCGTTGGGCATTTCGATGTTTATCTACCCCTGACACAGATTCACCTCAAATCGGTGTATGATTTGTCCAATGCAAAAAATAAATAAATAAAAAAAAAACAATGTTCACTGGAAAAAAAAAAACATTGGATCTAGAGTCCAGACTCTTGAAAACATTGACAAGAAAAAATACTCTCGATTCAATCAGATTTAAGCTTAAATCAAAAGGAAATCCGCTCAAATTAAGAGGCTTGGTTCTTGATTTAAGCTAGATTCTGATTGAATCAAGAGTACTTTTTCTTGTCGATGTTTTTAGGAGTCTAGGCTCTAGATCCAATGTGTCTTTTTTCCAGTGTTGGCGCTCGAAGAGCGCTTCAAATTTCTAAAAATTTGTTTTTATAACTTGAGTTTTGGCCGGGTTTTGAGGTGGAGCACCACCGTGTGGAGGGCAGCCGGAACGCGCGCATAGTTGCCTTAACCTTTGCTGGAAGACTCACGTCTCAGGTCTGAGGCACAGGCTCCTGCCTTACATAGACCAATATTTTTTTCCATGCCCGACTCTTTGTTTAACACTCTCGAGCAGTCATCGAACCTCCCTCCAGTCGAGAGGCGTTTAATAACTCTATTAAGACATCAGTTCCCTCTCGCTTGTTTGCTCTCTCGTTTGCTTCCAGCCCGGCAAAAAACGCGTAACTCCCTTCGGAAATCCCGCGTACTTAAGCGGGTTTCGCTACGTACCCGGGGCTCCTTTTTTTGACGCCTAGTCGAGGTACCCGGTCTGTGCATTCAACAGATTCTACCCTGATTAGCTGAACGAGGCACTAATTAGAGGACTGGAGACAGAGGATATTGCGAGTGCCTGCGGAAACGATAAATGTGTGGGGAGAGGGAGGGGGGCGGCCTTGGATCTCTCGCCTGGCGTAAATTGGTGCATTCCGTGAGAAATAATGGGACATCGTCTGAGCGGCCCATAGGTTCGCGTAGGCATGGAAAGTTAATGGGTGAAATCCCACGGGCAGTATCCCTAGATGAATGGAGCAAAATGAATAGCTTCAAGAAAAAGCAAGTTTTACCGACATTAATAAAGAGCACAGTGCTAGACTGCTGTGCAACGCAAAAACGCCGTAAACGCCATTTTAAATTTTTTGGGAACGATGTGTCATAGCAGGAAAACTTGTGTACCTTGGGACAATGTTTTTACAGAATTATTCTTCAAATACTATCACGAACTTAGCCTGAAATTTTGAGGTGCATGGGTAAAATAGTTTTTTTTTATGATGTGTTAAGTTCCAAGTGGAAAAATCTTGATGGATTTACGGCGTTATTGCTTAGCACGGCAGTACAGGGTATGTCCTTGCACATTCCTGAAGCCTAAAAAGAGATTTGCGCAATTTTATGTGACTTAATTAGCCAAATATTTTGGAATGAGAAGGCTGGCTTCACGGATTGCGGAAAATGTCATTATGGAGCGGGCTAATGAGGAGGACAAATGAAAAAGTTTGCAGATACTTCCCAAACGCCATTGCACACTCTTAGCAGTCTGATGTCTCAACTTTCACACCGAAAAAAAAAGGATGCTGACTTAACATTCTGGATGTAAAAAAGTTTGCGACAACCTACAAAACTAACGGCCTTAACGGTTACTAACTATAACGTCTGACGGTTACTAATGTCAAGATGTAAAGCTAACTGCTGTGCCTTGAGGAAATTTCTCAACAACTCAACATTTTGCATTAGTTTTGTAAAGATCAGTGAGTTCGCACTAATTTTTACAAAGTATCAACATAATTTTCATAATTCTCCGCAAAAATCAGTTCGCTGAGTGCCCACTTTTTAGAATAAACCGATTTTTTGAATCGTGTTACCAAACTTTCAGTTCATGTAAACGAACTTCTTTCATCAGTTCTTTTAAGTTCATAAAGTTCGGTTATACGAACCGAGCGTCCGAACTGAAAGTTGGGTTTGACGAACCGAATAGTTGCGATGACATAGAACTCCATGTTCTCCTTCATTTTGTGGATATGCAATTTTACCTAAATGGAAGCCATAACAATTGTATCGCGCGTTTCGCCCCATCCAACTTTTCTACTCCTGCGTTAAAGTCTCCAAGGTAGCAGAAAAGAGATAATCCTTCATTGTGCATGGATAGGCAATTTTACTTACTTTGAAGTTGAAATAGTTGTATCACGCGTTACGCCCCATCCAACTTTTCTACTCCTGCGTTAAAGTCTCCAAGGTAGCAGAAAAGAGATAATCCTTCATTGCGCATGGATAGGCAATTTTACATACTTTGAAGTCGAAATAGTTGTATCACGCGTTTCGCCCCATCCAACTTTTCTACTCCTGCGTTAAAGTCTCCAAGGTAGCAGAAAAGAGATAATCCTTCACTGCGCATGGATAGGCAATTTTACCTAGTTGGAAATCGAAATAGTTGCATCACGCGTTTCGCCCTATCCAAACCGAGGACATGTGACTGAGGGATCTATTTCCGTGGGTTGATAATTGAAATTTAGAGCAAGGCGATAGACAGACAAAACCAGGAAAATAGAGCAATCATTTCGATTGAAACGGGTGATTTTTATAGACCAAGAGGGAAAATGATGAACTAACCAAAGAGTATCCCAGCGCTGATATTATTACTCAACTCCTTCATCCATTGCAGGCACCAATTTTCATCAATGGAGATCTTCCATTTGTCAGGAATTTGAGGTTTAAGTATTGATTCCTATATAAAATTTCGCGAGAAATGCTGCCACACTTACCATGGTGCTACTAATTTTCTCCGAGACAAACTCTGATGCTCAAAAAAAGCTGCCCAAAGATACGGAGCAAATACATTAGCAGGGTTGCTGCTAATGTATTTGCTCCCTGGCTCCCTATCTTAGCATGGAGAAATTTGACTTGATACAGTGGTAGACTTTCTGATTAGCGTGGAATATTCCCTCCATCACGGTCTCAACTTTGAGGGCTTTTTTTAAGCTTTGAAGCTTGTTTCAGAGAAAACCAGTGGCACCATGTTGTTTCTCGCAAAATTTTAGACAATTTAAGTGCTTAAATCACAAATCCCGCACCCAGCAAGAGCTCCTCGGATCGTTCATTCTCTCTTCTTCTTCTTTGTCTATCGCTCTGTCTATCAATTTCAATAGCCAGCCCGAAGGACTGAGAAAAAATTGAGTCATTTCGTATAGGAGCACCACATCGCGTGAGACATCCGAACAGCGACGATGAATCGAGTCACGTGCTTCGGTTCCTCAGGCAATCGGATTTATTTTGTACGCACGAGTCCGTCATTTTCAGGGAATCTTCGTTGCCCGGCGGCAAGTCGGTGGATATCCAAACCTAACAAATCTATTTCTCAATAAGCCCCCAAATCCATTGGAATTCCTATATTCTAGGGCTCATCAGATATGGAGCATATTCGGTTCCACCATCTACCGATGCTATTGTCCGTTGCAGCAAAGGGCAAGGTCAGGGACATCGCGAGACAAGAGCGAGTGAAAGAGAGGAGCCAGAGCCCGAATGGAAAAGAGCTGTCATCGGCTCCGCTGTATGAGTTTTCGAAATGCGTGAAAAGACGTTTCAATGGAACAAATCTTGTTCGGCGCATTTCTGCGCTCCACAATATAAATGCCTCTCCTCCAGCCTGGCCCCCGCTTTTTTCTCCGCTTCCCCCCGCCCTCCCCACCTTTTCTACAGTTGTGCCATTCGGCATTATGGTCATCATCATTGTCATCATCATTTTATATCCTCCTCGGCCAGTGGCTCTCAAATTCGTGGTTGCGACGCTCCTGCAGTTCTCAGTGTAAGACGTTCTAGGTTAGAGCGTCTT